CTAACCTCCCATGTGTTTTAATGAAGTTTATTGGTTCTTGAACCAAGTAGTTGCTCAAATCAAGAGTTAAACTGTGAAGCTTCTCTATTACAAGTGCTACCTTATTGGTTCCCTTCCTCCATGCTTCTTCAGCTGCTGAACGCTCTGTCTTTGTACGGCCCTATCGTCTGGTGTCTGGCCTGCTTGACAAGACAGATCTCGGAAGTACGATCCTTGATGATGTATTGCTCGACTTACTCTGCCTTATTGTAGAGGCCCATTACAAGCTAGCCCAGAGGGCAATTTGGTTGGTGTCAGGTGAGCTCGGTCAGCCGGGCCTGTCAGGAAGCCAACAAAATTCTCAAAGAGACATAGGCGAAGAGAAAAGTTGGCTCCATGTGCCGGAGAATATGCGCGAACTTCTCGTCATTCAAGCTGCTTCGCGCCAAAAGGCCGGTTTAGCCGGGAAAGGTAGGTATATTTGTGCTAGATCTCGTTCTTATGAAGCTAGTAAAATTCATCTCTAGGGCCCAAAATGGCTCCAGTTTCTTAATTTATACCTAGCAAACTAGCTGAATTCTTTTGTCCACCATGTATCTTTCTCCGTCTTTTAGTTTACCTATTTATCTATGTAATTATTTCTAGATACAAATCACTTTTATGTTTCTCCCTACCCTATTTTATCGGACAATACGCCTGTCTTCATATAGACCAACAAGAAAATGGCTTAATCGAAGGTGTGAAGACCAAGATGGTGTGACCTTATGTGTGGCCGCAGTCGCCTTTCGTTGTATAGAAGTTGTCTGACCCTGTTTTCGCAACTCGGTCATTTTGGTAGGAAGATTCAGAGGAACGCACCTTGTCCGGAGTCCATTGTATGCATCAACATTTCCAGAGTAGGAACGTGGACGTGGTACATTCCCAGATGTTTCGCCGGCATCGTCAATGAGTCTCGCTATTCGCAGAAACATACTACAACTCGTCAAAGAGACAAGTGAAGCCCATCCTTTGACCGAAAGTGTGCTAAACAATTATGGTATCTCCCCTTCTGCCCTGGCCTATTCACATTTCCTATATCCTCCTATCAT